CTCCTCCCACTGTGCTGCATTTGGTCTTCATGTTTCAACACCTTTTAATATCATAAAATAATTAAACCAAACTAACCATTAGAAAAATGGACACTTGGACATACACCAGTGAGATAAGAACTATCTAAAACAGAAAACTCTATTTTAAGTGTTATATCACTTCTTAGTTTGCTCCATGTCCCATCCATTATTATAGAAAAGACTTTAGGATTTTTAACTTACACTGCAGCCCACCACGAGGAGATGATCAAGATGCTTTGGCATTTTCAAGAAATTCTGACTTTTAAAAAAGTAAATGATTAACTCAAACATGATCAAATGTGTTTTAATCAGACTTGGCTGAGAGAGAAAACAGATTTGACAGATTAGTCTGGCATCAGTGTGTGAAAGCTGTCGTCTTGTGTTGTAAAGGGGACATTTGGATTGACGTGATAAACCTGGCTGTAGTTGTTGTGTTGAGGCTCAATGTATGAAAGTTGTGTTTTACTCTGGAAACATATTTAACAGTTTTATAAAGAACAGCTCGGCTGGATTTAACATCTAACTGCTCCTTTGTTAAAGGAATAGTTCGCCCAAAAAAATGAAGATTCACTCACTATCTGCTCACCGCTGAGCAGATGGAGGCATGAGGGAACTGTTTAATGCCACAAAACACTTTTGGCATTTCAGAGATAAACAGCGTTGCAGCCAAATCCAATACAATTGAAATAAGTGAGGACCACTTCATCAAACCTATGAAAACAACAGGAAAAAAAACACATCGTGCCTCCATACTGCTCTGGTGGTGTCATCAAAGTGTCCATAAGCCCCGGCGTTCAAATTCGACTCAAAATGGCATCATTTACACTTTGTCTTTAAACTAAAAACATGGTGTAACATGTAAACACCCCTCCATCGGCATAGTGGTGAATAGATATTGGGTGAATTCAATTTTTTGGGTGAACTATTCTTAACAATAAGTCTTAAAACAAAAACAGATGATTTCATTGTTGAGAATAACAGATCTATTCAGAGTTTGAGGGTCGCATATAGTTTCTCAGTGGGTAAGATGAGCAACTTAACAATCAGACATCGTATTTTGTGGAGTCAGTGGACATGTCAGTCCACAGTAGTGGGGCACTATTAAAAAAAGACCTTTATGGATGGCTGAGCAAGACCCCTCCAATCATTACGCTCCCTCCAGCTGAAGCCAGCTCCCTGCTGCTCTGAAATTCCCTGTGTACGGCTGACCTTAATGTTGCTCAGGATAATAGCATGCAAGTCCCAGTGGAGAGGAATAGTAGAAACACTCTGTTCTGTGTGTGTGTGTGTGTGGGGGGGAGGGGGGGGGTGTATATCTTCTGTATAATGTCCTTGTCCGAATTGTGGTTTTCGTGCTGCCACAGGAAACCCATGAGTCTGGAATACATGTCATTACTGAGCCAACATGCTCAGAACACATTCATCATATTGATTCTTGCAAACCTGGTTGTGTGTTCCCCCAAATGTACAGAGAAATGCACAATTCAGTTCAACTCAATTGAACTTTCATCAAGCAACGAAGAGCTACTGAATAAAAAATCCCACATTCAGATAAAGGAGCTGCTCTATAATATTCAGTCCTGCACACAGGTTAGTGAGCGGCTCCAGTGGAGCAGCAGGGAGGCGCAGGCTCAAGGGCACCTTGACTCCTCTCACTTACACATCCATATATCTGGCTTTTATTGACATTTCATTTATCATTGACCAGTCACATAGTCTCACTTTGATAGAAGGATATTTCCCCCTTTCCACAAGTAAAGAAAATCTATCAGTCTATTTCTTTAACTTCCTGCATCAGATTTTACAGCTTCATTGTAAATGCATATGATCAAGTCACACTCAGACTTTTTTCAGGAGTGAACCGGTGATGTTTCAGAGGCAGTGTGTGATTTAAAACTGAGCTTTTTAAACATTCATAGCTTGTACCCCCCCCCCTTGCAGCCCTACCATCATCCTCAACTTCAGATTCAGGAACAACTGTCATAAACACGCCCTCTTTGCAGCCGGCACAGACACGTCTGTCGTTTGATATTTGGCTCATGCTAAGCAGAGGAACAGCTGCAGGGCACAGGAAACAGAGCACAGGGAAGACAGTAACTGCGTGAGTTGTTTCTGACAGCTCCTCCTGTTGTGCTACTATCAGTCCCTTCAGGACTTGAGTTTCCTTCCTCTCTCTTCCTGCTGACCAAAAACTCTTCAGCCACACCGACTGCAAATGGACTCATTGTTCATTCATAGGAAAAGTTTACAGCAGGTGAATACCTCGACTCAGGGGACCGTACCACTGGAGCGCCGGTACATCTGTATGCATATGCTGATGGATTTTGTTGACTCTTGAAAATTGGTACGGTTTGTTTTGAGTGTAAATAAGAATGCGGTGCGGTGAGACTCAGCTACAAATCTCCCCATTATGTCTGATATTATTGAATGATTTTGCAAAGCAGAGTCAGTTTTGCAAATTTGGCAATTTCCCAAGAGGAAGGCTAATTATGACAAAATGTCCAAACACTCACAAAAAATTCCCACTCCATCTTTCAAAAGTCCTTTAGCAGCTCTGAGCTACTGTAAATCCCTTGCTGTTGCCCAGGCAACCTCAGCCCTGCCGCCATGGCAGCTGTGGCTTGTGGACAAGAAGACACAGAGTGCCAGGGTGGACAGGTGTTGCCGGCGTCTGCAAGATCATTTTCGGTGCCTTAGCTCTGCCTCAAATGTAGTTCCTCACGTGGAGCTTTGCTAACAAGCCGCTCACAACACAAACACAACACCCCCCACCACTCCACACCGCTCCGGTTATTCTGCTATCTGATCTGAGGCCGCTGAGTTACACTAATGTTCTGTGTCGCGCTCGTGTCGAATCAGACGAGCACATGGTTCTCTTGCCAACTCGGAGCAGGAGGTCCGTGCCACATGGCTGCATGTTGGTTTTTTTCAGTTTTCGTCAGACATACTGTAGGTATGAGAAATGACTCATATTCAGTGAAACGTGGTAACCTGCTGCAGGGCAGAGTAATGGGACACTGCACAAAAAGTCAAACAAGCTCTCATTACCTTTTATCCAAGCAGAACATGGGATCACCTCTGAAATTGATCCTACAAAATGGTGAGGGGAAATATAATGTGTGCTGGTAGAATGCAATAGATGAGAGAGGTTCCATTTACCAGCAAGAGCATGTGCAGACCATGGAGGAGAGATAGGTCTGTTATTGAGTCAGTGTGGCGAGGCGCAAAATGTCTATTTCAGGGCCTTTTTTTAAGTAGGGTGAGTCACCAGGCTAGCTTCTGCATATGTGTATGTGCACATGTATTTTTATATCATACCACTCTCACTCTGTCTCACGTGCCTGCATGGAGGGTGCAGGTCTGTGACAGGTTAGGCATTTTGGGTGCAGGCCATCTTCTCACCGTTTTTTCCCTTGGTGCCTAGCAGCGAGCTGGCCCTCGCACGAGGGACAGACAGAGACTTCAATCTGTTTGGTAAATACTGAGATGAGTAATGCCCACCCATCACCACAGCACAGGAACTAGCCCAGGCCAGACATGCGCGTTCATAGGTAGGATGCTACTCTGAAAGCATGGAGAGGATACACCTCTGTCAATGCAAATGATCTATTTTGAGATATTAGAGGGTGAGGGGAAGTGTGAGGAGTGACAGGCAGACAATGAGAGAAAGAGAAATGGACAGAGCGAGGGAGAAGAGCAAATGAGAGACTGGAGCCGCCTCCTGCTGCCAGTAAAATGTCAATGGAACCCTGGGGATGCATTGATTAACCTCTCTACGCCTAATCTGCCTTCACCTCCTCCACCTCTCACTGAAGGCAAACAAACAGACTGGTGGTACACAGACCAACGTAAACATGTCACACAGCGGCAAAAGCTAAAGAAAATTCATCTCAGCTGAAGATTGTTGAAACTTCTGTACTTTTAGTTGAATTTAGGCTACAACGATACAAGTACATGTTTGATCTCTTCTTGGATCTCATCCCTTTTAATTACCGTCCATAGACACTCACCTGCACATGTCACAGCTCAAATATCAGTTTGTCTCAACATGTAACCAGTTGTATCATTGTAAAATGCAGAATTTAACTGCACAACATCTGTTAGCAGAGACAACACGGTCAGCAACACTTGTAATTAATCCATGTTGTGTTCTACACTGGTAGTTGAGGCTAATGCCAGTTTTTTTCTTCTGGGAGAGGGTCATGTGATTGGAGCCTAAAGAGGGTACATCAGCAATATTTGTTTCTGCGCACCCAGACTAAAATGCATGCTTTGGAGTTTTCCAACTAAAATGGGGGCAGCAGCGTTTACGATCTTCTCCATTTTAATGGCTCTAAAACTCTGGAGTAGTGTGGACGCCAGACATATCCGTAGCAGAGGTGATGCGTCTTCCAATGAAAAGGTGGTTCAGATGTAGCCTCAGCTCATTCGATTCAATATAAGGTGTCACATACACTTTAATGATTCATTTGTCACTGTCTATAAAACTTTAAAAAATAGTATTTGTTAAATCTAAATTATTAACCCCAAACACATTTAATATAATATGAGACAGCAACAAATTTACACTTCGATGAAGCTGGAATTAACAAACTAACTGTTTTTGTTCTGACTCATTCCAGCTTTAATTTAATACAAATTCACAATCAGGTTCGATTTATATTACACATTGTGAAATGTTTTGATTTAATCAACTGTTAAAAGCTTCAAATGACCAATATCAGTACCAAACATTTTAGAGTTTAATGGTTTCTTACTAACCACTGTGGGTGTGCAATGCTGCCAATTCCTACTTGAAGAAAAGAGGAGCTATTCATTTTGTTGTGTCTCACTTTAATTGCCTTGGCTTTTACTTTCGGTTTAATCAGCCCTTTTTTGTCAGTTGAATGCAAGTATTCCATAATCCTCCACTCTGGAACGTCTTGAGAATATCTAACCTCTTTTCTCCTCTCCCCTCTTTTCTCTCCTCTCGCTCACAGTTTGCTCACAGTTCTCCAAAGGTGTGTATGCCATCATCGGCCTGTATGACAGGAAGACAGTCAACATGCTCATGTCCTTCTGCGGAGCGCTGCACGTCTGCTTCGTCACGCCGTCTTTTCCCATCGAGACGGCCAACCAGTTTGTCATCCAGCTGAGGCCTGAGCTGCAGGATGCTCTGGTGGGTGTAATCAACCACTACGGGTGGACCAAGTTTGTCTACATGTACAGCTCTGATTCAGGTAAGAAACCAAATTTAATTTGCATTTTTCATTAATCATACTGTTTGTATCTTTTTTTGAGGTGGACGGTTTTACTTTTATAATTTTATTAAATGTGATATCCTTATTTGTTTTTCAGCATCAAAAATGTATGTGTCATAATGATTAAATGTAAGTAAAATGTGTAGTACTACATGCACACAAAGAGAGTCAGAGCCTGCACCAGCCTATAAACCAACCCCCATTAGTCGTCTTCAGATTGCCATGGCGACAGCAATGGGGTCAACTGTAGCCATTGTGCAGCCATCAGAACATTTCTTTTCGACCATCATCCCTGTACAGACAAAAGACACATAAAAGAAGTATTGACCTGCAGTGACTGGCAGATAATCTCACAATGGAACAAAAGATGAGCAGTTGTCTGTGGTGACCCATGTCGCAGCATCAGTAATGTCAGAAAAAAGAAAAACACAAAAGTGCTGCAGACTGTTAATAACACTTCTGCAGAGGAAGGCAGAAATAAAGTAGCACACCTGTCACCCTCCGGCATCTTCCTCGTTTCCTCCTCTCTAACCAATCAGCTGTACCCTTCCCATAATGCCATGCCATCTGCACCAGGTGTCGTGAGTTTTGGAGCTTGACCGTGATGGGTGTGTGTGCACCCAGAGACATGCACACTTTCAATATGTGTGTACTTTTTGCAGATGCTACAGCTTGAGGGCTTTGTGAAACTTTTGATCCACTGATGTGTTTGACTTGAGTGAGATAAATAAGTAAGCTTAAGTCAGCTTTAAAAGACAGATGCCATCATGTCACTCCTCACAGCGCACGATCGAGTGTTGACGAGGGAGATTTCACAGTGGCCTCCAGCCCTATTGATGTATGACGGCTGTGGCGTCACACACGTCCCACAGACTTTTTTAATCTTCTGTGATCCCTTCATTATCCACTCACAAACTGTTGGGGTGTTTATATGTGTGTGTGTGTGTGTGTGTGTGT